TAGAGCATTATCTTTATAAGTAGTGTCATGCCAATTGAGCTAGATGTTCCCCGAGACCATGGTCCCCAGAGCCCCCCGTCCAGCCACTCAGTCCCTCAGGGAGTTTGGATCTGTCCATGGGGCCTCCATGACCTTTCCTTGTACAGGTTGTGTTAGTTTCCCCTGTATTGTGTACTGTCTCATATGGTGTAACTTTTGACAAAAGAAACTACTTCTCCCTATAGCAACATTTCCTATCTCACAATCCTCTCTCATAACCTATATCCCATGACAAACGGTGACGGTGTTATCAAGAGAGATGGGAGAAGCAAGTCTAAAAACAGAAGAACTAGATGGTGACCAGCTACCACAATGACTGCCCTGACAGGGAACACAACAGAGTGTCCCTGACAGAGCAGGAGAAAAGTGGGGTGCAGAATTCAAATTCCAGTAAAAAGACCAGACTTAATGGTTTGATTGAGACTGGAGGGACCCTGGAAGATGTGGCCCCTGGGCTCTCTGTTAGCCCAAAATTAAAACCATTCCCAAGTCCAACTCTTCAGACAAAGATTAGACTGGACCACGGGACATAAAATGATACTCGTGAGGAGTGTGCTTCTTAGCTCAAGTAGATACATGAGACTAAATGTGCAACTCCTGTCCAGAGGTGAGAAGAGAAGGCAGAGAGGGTCAGGAGCTGGTTGAATGGACACAAGAAATCTGAGGTGGAAAGGAAGAGTGTGCTGTCACAGTATAGGGAGAGCAAGTAGGGTCACAAAACAATGTATGCATAAATTTTTGTATGAGAGACTAACTTGAATTGTAAACTTTCACTTAAAGCACAACAATAAAAAAAAAAAAGAAATTAAAAAATAAAACCTAAACCCACAAAACAAACAAACAAACAAAAATACCTTTCTGAGAACTCAGATGTAAATCCATCCACCTATGGTCACCTGATCTTTGACAAGGGCCCAAAGTACAGCAAATGGGGAAAAGACAGTCTTTTTAACAAATGGTGCTGGCAAAACTGGATATCCATCTGCAAAAAAATAAAACAGGACCCATACCTCATACCATATACAAAAGGTAATTCGAAATGGATCAAAGACCTAAATATAAAGTCAAAAACTATAAAGTTCATAGAAGAAAAAATAGGACCAATGCTACAGGTCCTAATACACAGCATTAATAGGATACAAACCATAACCATCAACACACAAACCCCAGAAGATAAGCTAGATAACTGGGATCTTCTAAAAAT